TAGTTATTTTCAAATTTCATCACTTGGTGGCTGAGGTAGTTGCGTTCTCTTGAACGACACTAATGATCAATGTTTGAAACAAAATGAACGATATCGAATGTTGAAGGGGAGATTGGCGTAACACATTTTTTTCTATCCCTTCTTCCTAAATATCTAATATTGCTTTTTACAGGACTAATTTAAATACCTGTATATTTATACCTAAATGTATTATTAATTATAGCTTAGGCCGAGCCTGTAAAATATTTCGAATAAATCAGTGTCAGTAATTTTCGGTATTTCTAACGAAACGTTATAATTATTTTATTGCTCAGTAATTATCTTACTTGGTAGCAGAAGGCAATAAAGTGTCAAAATGTCCTTGATACTTGATCATTCACAAATCATACAAAAAATCATTAATTTGATCTCGTTATTATGTCATTATTTAAAAAAAATATTTTACAACAACGGCAATTTTAGAGTAATACACCGATAATTTATAACATTATCACTAGTCACTAGTTTAGTAAGAATGACAGCTACTGTCTCGTACCAACTGTTCATGTCAGGGTAGAATGTATATAACTAGTTATGTTCGCCTAGAGTATTTCATTTTGATATGTTGAATGTCACATTTATGAAAAAGACATTAAGCAATGTTGAAGCTGATCAGTACCCAGAGGGATAACCGCTAAGGATTACCAGGTGCTGTAAGTTTAAGCTGGTGTAATGGATAAAGACTCGGAATTAAATTACTTCAATCTTCCCCACCCTCCCTTCATACTCTGTAACAATTTACCTCGAATGGCTCCCGGGCCTTGTACAGGACGAACTTCACTGTAAAAAGCAATGAGGGTTGATAAGCTGTAAAAAAAAAACAAATCAATCATATAAAGAGTAACCTCTTATGCCCAGACGTGTTGATTAGTGCAGTGTAAGTTGTTCGCGTTTAGTTTACGTGGCTACTCATATTTCTGTTGTATTTGTTATTAACCCTTTTTTATTGTTGGTCCAACAAAATAAAGAAAAACAAAATTTTGAAAGACTTTTATACATATCAAGTGATACTCCTACTACAAATCACACCTAGCGTAGGTTGGGGGTGCTGTAGCCAGATATACCCCTCGGAGTTTACGAGGTTAACATAGATTTTATACTGCAACTCTCGACAGATTCGACTTACAACAGAATTGACTTACGACGAAGTGGCGGGGATGGAACACCGTTGTAACTTTGGAATTATCCGCATTCATTTTTATTAGTATTTATAGAATTTATTAGTATTTTTAGTATCATAGTATTATTCATTATTAGTATTAATTATAATATTTAATTTTTATTATTGTTTTTGTGCTGAACGAAATCTGCCAAAGACGACAATGTAGAGCAGAAATCGCTAAATGAAAGAAACTTGGTTGCAATATTTGCTGTTTTGGCAGCCAGTTTCTTTTAAAAATCATTTCCCACAAGAAAGGCAATAAAGTCACTTAGACGCAAGGGCGTACTGCGTGTGAAAGAATATGAAAAATACGGAAATTATTATTATTGATAGAGAACAATAACAGAACAGGAATTAAGAAGACAGATGGTAACGATTGACATTGCATTTAAATTTTTGAAGATCAAAATTTATTGGAAAGCTAGATGTTAGAATAGATTTCTACAAGCGAGAAATACATAACTGAAAATCCAGACCATGTACGAGAGAAGAAACAAATACATTCAGTTGTGTCTATTAATTTCAATTTCAAAATTCAGATACTTAGCTACCAATCTACTACTGCCATTAAAGATATAAAGTAATGAATAATAGAATGTTTTACTTTCAGTATTGAAAATACAGAGCCGCCTTGCATCTATATTTGGTAGAAATTTGCTCTTTAGTGATTTATCTGCTTTGGTTAGTTTCAAAACCCGTCTTTACTATTAAGAGATAATATTCGGCCTTTCTTCTCTTCAAAGAAAATATTGGATTCAGATCTTTCTCTTCGTAAAAGTTTTTCTGCCATATTTAAAGACATTATAAAAGTAAGTGATCTCTATATTTTCCAAAAAGAATTTTTTTGATCAAACTGTTCAGTAATATTTTATTTTGTAAGTTCAGTGGTGTTTATTGCTGTCTCTTTCCGCTCTCTCACCAGTCATGAACCTCCCATTAACAGAATTTATTTCTGTTATTAACCCGCTGATTGAGACTCATCTCTTGACTTCCTTCGGGATGTCTCCTGGAAGGATATTTTTAATCATATTGATCAGAAATGTGCCATCGAGGTCTCCTTTTGGGTGAAAACTGGCATCGAAGCTATCGTTCCAGTTCGAAACTACCTAGTGAAACCATAATCTTCCTGGTTCTCGCCTGCCTATAGCTCACAGAAATCACTTCTTTCTGCTATATTAGTGTGACAGGTCAGATTGCAACAGACGTCTCAATGTCGCTGCCCGTAACGAGTGCCAACGTGTCCTCAAAGAAGTAAAGTCTCTATTTTCTGATAGAATGAGACACTGTATAACCTCCCTTAAGTTTAGTTGCAGGGATTATTAGCGGTTCTGCAAGAGCATGTTGAACAATAGGAAATCCTCAGTCCCTCCCCTCGTCAATTTAATGTGCTTTTTTGAAATCTATGGCAGATAAGGTAGAGTGCTTCGCCGGAAGTTCTCTTCCAAGAGAATCTCGACTCTCTTAAAATAAAGGGTAAACTGAGTAACATACCCATAACCCCGTCACTGTTTTCTGGCATGATCTCAAAAGTAAATCTCCACAAGGCTAGAGAATGTCGTCCTAAAGAAATGTGCTCCTCAGCTGACTCCTGTTCTCTCCAGACTTTACAACAAATGCTTCGCTGCTTCCTGCTTTTCGACTTGTTGGAAGTCCTCGTTCGTAGTTCCTGTTTTTAAGAACTCTGAGGACCCCTCAAATTATCGTCCTATTAGCCTCTTACCTCTTTTTGGCAAAATATTCTAGATCCTAATCACTGCTGAGCTGGTTAAGAATCTTATTTCGCACGACCCCCTTTCAGACAAACAATATGGCACATATGCGTGCTCACGTACAATTATGAATGACTGTTTTATTTATCCGAGAAATGAAGGAATAATATAGAAAGAGACTTTTATGATTAAGGACATTCATGTGTGATGATTAGCACTATGGCTGCCGTCGCCATTTCAGACAAAACTCAATGATATTTTGAAATAAAACATAATGAAAATTTCATTAAATCTTTGATTAATATGTTTGAATTGATTTTCTTTCATAAATCGAATGCCGTATTGTAATTTTCTCCGCCTAATATCTGTCTCTGATGGTTTATCGAATGATTGAATTCTACACTCATCATTGACTTCAGTAGACAATCTTAGAAATTTAGACTGGGTAATGCTTTGATCATTCAGTTTAGAAAAATATTCACAGACAGAATCGCCTTTCAGTCGCCTAGTTGATAGTTTGCACTAAGAAGGTGTCTCTTTCTAGATGAAGCTAATCTTTTTTAACAACTGGTACTCATGGGAGCGTGGCTGAGTGGTTAGAAGGTTCACTTTCCGATCATGATGCGGTTTCAATTTATTCGATTCAGCACGTGATGTTATCAGCACGTGATGGCGAGAGATCCCATTCGTGTGGCACCTTTGGAAAGCGTCTGAAAACCAATTCAGCATAGTTGTGGGTGTTGTACAAACACTGATGTGCCTGAGCAGGGATTAGCTAGCTGCCCTAGTAGACAGGCATAATCAAATACGAGCGATCACCCAACACTACCACCATTACTTATGGTCTCAAATTGCTGTGTAAAGAGTCTTATTATTAAGTATTGACTCATGCTTAAGAGTCGTATAATAGACCGTGTTTTACAAGTGCACTGAAAGTTGCGCCCAAAGAATTTAAAAATCAGTGATAGTAATCGTAATATTAGCTTTTTCCTTATCAGGAAACATTCGGCATTCATTGACCGAGAAGCTAGTGTTACTCTCGGTAAAAATGTTATAAAATCTTTCCATTAAGGAATAGGTTTCTCATTGCCAATAACTTTTATCGGTTTTTCCAGTATTGATAGAGGTTTCCTTCCTAGGGTTTTGCTTGAGTTAATGTGGAATGTCAAGATTTTGATTATGTCATTATTTTCTCTTTAAGTTACACGTAATAGCCATTTTAATTGTTACTGCTGCTGAAAGTCCCTCAAGTGATGAGATTTCTCTTGTCTGCTGCAGTTCTTTGTTTATGCTGTGGCGCCATTCCACAAAGTTCGAAGAAGTATGGTCCTCACTGTGACCTATAGGATTCATTCGTTTGAAGCCATTTTTAATTATTGATCTGAGAAAAAGAGGTTTTATACGACTGACCTCCAAATCACTTAGGCTTTATACCTAAGTTGTTTGTTAGTAAAAATAAAAGTTCTGACAGAAATATGAAGATCTAATTAAATGCCTGCATGAAAGATAGGACAAGATATTTCAGCTCAGTGTAATTCAGGTAAAGTTCAATATAATTCAGGTAAATTGAATGAATAATGGTTTGTATCCCATTTTCAGAACTAGAGTTCTGTCATCTCATAAGTAAATATCCGAATTTAGGGACAGAATATATTTAACAAATATTTAATTAGAATCTATTGTGACAAAGGTTCTATAATTATCAATAACCTCACAAGTTTCGCAATATCGATCTTTAATTTAAAGGAAAAAATATAAAGAAATGAGTAAATTCCTCAGTGTGTGTCAACCAGATGGAGAAGGATTCGGAGAATAAGGGTTAGAATGTGGAATTTCTTTTACAAGCTGGGAACATCCATCTGCTCAGATGCGAGATTTCTGGATGGAAATAAATTAGGCTTCTTTTTCTTCGAGTCGGTGTTTAAGCGTTCTAATTGATGACATTAAATATCTTTTCATCATAACATTGATAGGTGAGAACTCAAAGTAAATCATAATAACATAATCCCATCAAACACCAAACGCAGCTTTTTTGTATGAAAGTACATATTTGTTTGGGCTTTAGCCTGCTTACCTGCATAAGAGGTAACTTACGGCCAGATCACGTTGAAACATTAATTCTCGCTCGATCACCAAAGTTATGCAACGTCGAGCCTGGCCAGTACCTGGGTGGATGACCGATTGGGAATATCAGGTGCTGTAAGCTTGGATGTATGTGTGGTTAGGGTTTGAAGGTCAAACTCATTGCACGAGCTTATTGACCCGGGAGACGAGCTGGTTTACCTATCGTGACATTTGGATAATTTATGTAAACCTATCCTATTTAACAGAGGAAAAGAAGATTATGTCGTGCCAAGATTTCAGGTAGGGAGGGTCTGTTTGCTTGCCTTGAAGACCAAGATTTTAGAATACTAATTTTTATCTGGGTTCAAACCCTGATCACCATCACCAGACGAAAACACGTAACATTCCCAACCACGATTCGCTTTTTGCATTTACGTACGAGTTCACACGCGTTCTAATCACGTAGTTATTTTCAAATTTCATCACTTGGTGGCTGAGGTAGTTGCGTTCTCTTGAACGACACTAATGATCAATGTTTTAAACAAAATGAACGATATCGAAAGTTGAAGGGGAGATTGGCGTAACACATTTTTTCTATCCCTTCTTCCTAAATATCTAATATTGCTTTTTACAGGACTAATTTAAATACCTGTATATTTATACCTAAATGTATTATTAATTGTAGTTTAGGCCGAGCCTGTAAAATATTTCGAATAAATCAGTGTCAGTAATTTTCGGTATTTCTAACGAAACGTTATAATTATTTTATTGCTCAGTAATTATCTTACTTGGTAGCAGAAGGCAATAAAGTGTCAAAATGTCCTTGATACTTGATCATTCACAAATCATACAAATATCATTAATTTGATCTCGTTATTATGTCATTATTTAAAAAAAAAATATTTTACAACAACGGCAATTTTAGAGTAATACACCGATAATTTATAACATTATCACTAGTCACTAGTTTAGTAAGAATGACAGCTACTGTGTCGTACCAACTGTTCATGTCAGGGTAGAATGTATATAACTAGTTATGTTCGCCTAGAGTATTTCATTTTGATATGTTGAATGTCACATTTGTGAAATAGAAAGATCTGAGATGAATTTTTATAATTTGAATGTTTTTACAAAACGCTGACGAGTCTTGAAATCCTCACAGTATTTAGTATTGCTGAAGTTATGACTAACGTTTTTTGTCGAGATTTACAAATTCTTCGTTTCGTTCAATTTCACAAACCAATCGATGAAATATAAAAACTAAAAGAAAAGCTATGCAAAAAATAATATTGCATTTTTTAATAAGTATTATTTTAATCATTAAATTGTTTTTAAAATAGTGTGTGTATTTTTTATATTACGTAATAAGTCTTTTAATTTTCAGCCGAAAATTAATGAAAATTTCTTGTAGTAAGCTATGCAGCGTCGTAAAACCACTTTGTACTTTGTATCCCTTTCACCCGTTTGCACTTCTCCCCCAAAAGTTGATTTTCATCTCTCAATGTATGTCTATTTTACAAGGTATGACGGTCAGACGGAGTAACAGAAGTCATAGAATTTCATATATAAAAGGCTAAAAGGCTTAAGGCCATATCACGTTGAAACACCGGTTCTCGTTCGATCACCGAAATTAAGCAACGTTGAAACTGATCACTATCTAGATGGGTGACTGTTGTAAGCTTGTATGTGCGGGTGGTGAAATGGATAAAACCTCGGAATAAGAAATCGGAGGGTCGAGTTCGAATTCTAGTGGAGTTCGATATATTCACATACACGCAATTGCCCTGGGAAAATATGAATCCCCCTCTTCTGTAAGCTATGGGTAAAATAGTAAGACTTGTATAAGAGGATCATTATTATTACTCACCAAATTCTTACAATCTAAAATTATGTTTCAGCTTTAAATTACCGCAAAATCATCCCACCCTCCTGCATAAATTGTTTATCTTACTTTGTAACATTTTACCTCGAGTGGCTCCCAGGCCTTGTACGGGATGAACTTCACTGTAAAAAACAATGAGGGTTGATAAGCTGTAAAAACCAAATCAATCATATAAAGTGTAAACTCTTATGCCCAGACGTGTTGATTAGTGCAGTGTAAGTTGTTCGCGTTTAGTTTACGTGGCTACTCATATTTCTGTTGTATTTGTTATTAAACTTTTTTTATTGTTGGTCCAACAAAATAAAGAAAAAACAAATTTTGAAAGACTTTTATACATATCAAGTGATACTCCTACTACAAATCACACCTAGCATAGGGTGGGGGTGCTGTAGCCAGATATACCCCTCGGAGTTTAGAATCTATTAGTATTTTTAGTATTATAGTATTATTCATTATTAGTATTAGTTATAGTATTTAATTTTTATTATTGTTTTTGTGCTGAACGAAATCAGCCAGAGACGACAGTGCAGAGTAGAAATCGCTAAACGAAAGAAACTTGGTTGCAATATTTGCTGTTTTGGCAGTCAATTTCTTTTAAAAATCATTTCCCACAAGGAAGGCAATAAAGTCACTAAGACGCAAGGGCGTACTGTGTGTGAAAGAATATGAAAAATACGAAAAGCATTATTAATGAGAGAAAACAATAACAGAACAGGAATTAAGAAGACAGATGGTAACGATTGACATTGCATTTAAATTTTTGAAGATCAAAGCTTATTGGAAAGGAAGAAGTCTGAAGAGATTCCTACAAGCGAGAAGTACATAGCTGAAACGCCAGACCAATACAACAACAAAAAACCCCAAACTTTCAGCTACTTACGTTTATATCCAGCAATTTCGACTCTAAAATGATGAGACCTAGCTGCCAATCTTGTGCTGCGCTTAAAGATGTAATGTATTGAATAATAAAATATCTTAGTTTCAGTATTTGTGTAGATTGATTTTTCACTTTCTTTAGAAAATCAAAATTGTACTCGATGTGAACGATGGGTTTTCATGTGATAAGCACTGCCACCAAAAATAGATTCATAGCTTTTATCAATCTTCGTTTTAAAGATGGTCTGAAAAATATACAAAAATATCTAATTTCCGCAGGTTTTTGCTTACAAACTGACTTCAAAATGTTACTATTTCAAGAATAAATCTAAATAAAGTTGATATATTTTGTATTAAATACATTGAATGGAAAATATATTCAAACCAGAATTCTAATTATGAATCACCACAAGCAAAATATCCAATTTTTTTTTGCTGTATTCGATAAAAACTGTGTAAAAATTTGTAAAATACTACAAAAAAGGTTATTCAATGAACACGATTCATTAGGTCGTTTTTTTTAGATCATATTTAATAAAAATAAAAAAAAACAGATAAAAGTGTACATAATACCCTGATACAGTTCGGCACAAATTATAAAAAAATATGTTTACATTGTTATTGAAAATGCCACTAAAATTATTAAACAATATAATATATTACATCATGATATAGGTAGATTGTACAGTCTAATTTCTCTTTGAGGCAACTGAAGGTCATATTTGTTACACGAAAAAACATTCTTTTATAAACTGTCTTCCGGGCGTTCACTTACAGCTTGAATTAACCTCGAGATATTCAATCGAATTGATGTCCGTTTTGAGCTTGGGCACCTCGACGTGGTGTAATGGTTAATAAGCTTGTTTTACTAGAACAGTTACGATTGAGTAGTGAGTTCGATACTGGCTGGGTGTCCCCTACTACTTTAGAAAGTCACAATGCTAGATTTAATCTCAGTAAACGAAAATTGTTATCGTAGAGTCAGCCTGCTGTCGAATAAGGACATTCCTTCAAACTGATAAGATGTTTGTCTGTATAAGACCTGGAGTTAAAATTTTCGGAAAGCTTTTCTTGTAGTATGAAAAAGGAATTTTTATTATTTATATTCTCTATGCATTTCAGAAACATAAAAAAAACTATCCAGACTATCATCAAATATTTCCAATTTTACAGATTCGATCGAAATCGTGATTAATATTCTTAAATCCTTGTTCTACACTATGGAAAATTTGCATTAAGAAAAATAATGATAAAGTAAATAATAAAACTAAAAGTATTTATTACAAGAATACGTAGACCAAAGATCAGTACCAGTTGCCTTTTGTACTTTTCCGGGGAAATTAACCATTTTTCCCCCGAGAATTATGTAAAGATCAGAAAAAATGTTAATTTGTAGGGGCAGTGTCTGGTGAATATGGTGACTAAGTGAATATTTTTCAGCAAAACTGCAACAGATTTTTAATTTAGCCCCAAAGAATTACGACCTTCTGAGGAAATAATTGCATTTTTCTTAACCAATTTTGAACGATTTTTTCCGATTTCTGCGTTTAATTGGTCTAATTGGGAACAGTAATTGTTCGAATTAATCGTTTTCTTATCTAGAAGGAGTTCATTGTAGAGCACTCCTTTGCGATACACAGTGTTATCTTTTTCGGTGAAGACTGACATTTGTTTCACACTGGATATGCCAATAAACTACATTCGGTAGCAAGGCCTCTGATTGGGAGGGTCTTGAGGAGCTTGGAATAACCTCTTATTTCCTGTTGTTCTCCGGTTCACCCTGAACCAGGATGGTAGCATCTATTGGGGCCCCAGCTATGCGCAAATAGGAAACCCCAAAAGGGGTCAAAATATTATTAAAGTATAAAAATACATTTTAATAGTAAGAATGCATTTTCATAGTAAGACATACCAGCAATACATTATTGGAAAAAGAAGAGAAAAATTACCAGTAATACACTTTTGAAAAAAAAAATTACCGAAGCTTCCCACCAATTAAATTTCGGCATTAAATGACCCATAAGGAGTTGATATGCCATTAAAAAAACAAAACAAAACCGGCATTTTGTACAGTTAGTGTGTTCATTTTGTTTGCTACACGATCTCTTGAATTCCACACTTCTGTAAAAATTGAACTTTTCATACCTCTGCACAATATGCTTGAAAAACGTAACATTCAAATACCCTACAATAGGTTTTATTTTCGTTTATTTTATGTATAAGCCATGCATCAAATGAACAGAACCAATGTCCTGCGTATAACTTTAAGCTTAAATAATACGTTCATTTGATCGACTGATCTACCTGACCTTGAAACATCATTCTACGAAATGATATACGAAATCTTATACATAAACTACAGCAAACCAGACTTAAATGCAA